AATGGTGAGAGACAAGTAAAGGGTGGCAGTTTAAATTACAATACTATTTTGCAGTTAGAATGTTTATGCAAAAAAGAATAGAAACTGAAGTCCCTTCTTTCAAGCTTTTGTGTCTATCTCTGGAGAACCCCAGAAAGTATGCTAATTAGAAAGACCCCTGAGGAAGAGGAAGTTGATATTATTGATGGCCCTGTCCTCAGATGGCCACCTATCTCTTAGGAAGATACGGGTTGTACCCACCTGTTTAATGAAAGCAGCCACACTGGTGGCACCCTCAACCTCCTCTTCTAACCCTCAGGTAGTAAATACTCAGGAAGACCATTAGACCCATATGACCCAATCGCAGAAAATAGCCTTCCCTGTGTTCAACAATTAGGATATAGAAGAAGATAAAAGGAGAAGGCTGAGGAAAAAAGGACAAAATTATAGCTGTCATGATTGGCAATGCATTAAACATATCCAAGTCACCTAAGGGAAAAACCAAAGACAATTTTTAAAGTGTTCCTGCTTTAAATGCAAATGCAAGAAGATTGGACACTGGGCATACAACTTTACCAAGCCACCACCTGGCCCTGCTTTATGTGTCAAGTGGCCAATATGCCTGACTCATGGCACTGGAGGATTGACTGTCCCCACTCCCAGGGAGGGTCTAGGCCAGTTAAGTGAGGGATTAGTGTGAAAAGAGATTTGACCTTAAAACATTTTTTTTTCTCACAATTCCTCTACTTCATGGCCCATTAAGGGAAACAGTATAATCAGAACACAGAATAAGGAAACTCTTTTGGCTAAGTAAGCCTTCTTTAGTAATTGTAGAAGCAAAGGGGGCAATGACAGACAGAAGACAGGTTTTCTTGCAGAGAAGTGTAGGTAATATCATTAAAAGGTTCTTATTTCAGACTCTACAGCTTAGAACTTGTTAGCTGCCACTACTGTGGAGCTATTATTTACATATTGAAAGAGTACATCCTCATCTGCTTGCTCATGCTTTTCATTAAAAACAGTTTTTTTTAGAGAGGCTGCTGGTTTTTTTTGTTTGTTTGTTTGTTTTTAAATTGGATATTATTCTACAACTAGAGATTCCAAATTAGCAGTTACCACAGATTATCAGTTTCTAGGCTGTGCTTGATGATATTGCTATTACTAATTGTACTACTTTAGCCAGGATGTCATAGTTGTTGTAATCAATTATTTGCCCTTGTATGATAACACTGTGATGATCTGATGGTATAATCACACTCATAGCCCAGTACCAAAACACTGGGTACTGAGCCAAATAGATAGCAACTCCTCATCCCAAATAAAGTGGGAAGATAGTACCTTAGTACAGACACAAGGACCAACAGCCAGCTATACCTAAAACGCATCTTGGAGGAATATACATTACCTAAGGAAGCTTTGATACCAGTGAAAAAGCTACCTAACATAAGAAAATACAAACAACAACACACAAAAAAAAAACAAATCAAAATTTTAAAAATAGAAATTGACAAGATGCAGAAACAAAAGGCAATTCCAGACTTCCACCCACCCAAGATAAATCCAGGGGACAGTGACATAAAGGAAATCAGAAGCCATCCACCTGAATTTACTGGAATGACAGTAGAAGAAATTTAAAAATACTCTATATAGGGCTAGAGAGGATATCAAAACAGAAATAATCTCACACATGAAAAAGAGATTAAGATCATAATGAAGGACTTGCTCAGCAAATCTAGAGTAGACAGATCTAGAGTAGACATAGATTTTTAAATAGAGGAGCATAGAAAAATAATGAAAACCATGAATGCCTAACATAGAAAAGAAGTGCAATTCATGAAGCAAATTGAAATAGATATCCAGGAAATTAAAAATTCCATTGAAAATTGGCAAAACTGAATGAAAACCGGGCATGGCAGTGCACGCTTGTAATCCCAGAACTTGGGAGCCTGAGGCAGGAGGATTGTTGCAAATTGGAGACCAGCCTTGGCTACAAAGTGAGCTCAAGACTAGGCTCAACTGCATAGTGAGACCCCGTCTCAGAAAGACCAAAAATAATGAATGAAAGAAAGTGAAGATCACAAAAAGAAAGATCTTTTAAAATAGCAAGGGGCCATGAAAAAAATAATCCAACAAGTGCAAGTCAATGCAAAGAAGAACAATGTAAGACTGGTTGGGGTCAATAAAAATGCAGGAGTCAGCGCAAATATCATAAAAAACCTATTCAGAGAAGTAATAGTAGAAAATTTCCCAAGTAAAGAAAAAGAATTTGACATACAAAAAAGTGAGGCATAAAGAACTCTAATTACTCATGACCAACATATATCAACACTGAGGAATATAATAATCAAGATACAAAAATTTGGCACAAGAAGAAAAAATATAGAAAATATTTAAAACTTTTATAAAAAAGAAATAAATCACCTATAAAGAAAAGCCCATCAGAATGAGTAGACTTCTCAACATGAACTCTTTAGTCAAGGAAAACTTAGAGCAAAGTATCTCAAGCTCTGAAAGAAAACAACTTCAACCCAGATTGATACGTCGCACAAAATTATCTCTCAGAATTAATGGATAAATAAAATACTTCCATGACAAAGAACAGCTGAAGAAATTCATGACCACCAACCCAGCTCTACAAAGAGTTCTGAAAGATATTCTAGGAAAGAGAGAACAAAGCCCACAATTCCTACAGTACCAATGAAAAGAAGCCACCAAGCAGGAGAAGCAATTAAACAGAGGGGAAAGACAGGGAATCATCAACAGGAAGATTATATGACAAAGACATGCCAATACATATCTTCTATAATCATCAATGTAAATAGTCTCAGTCACCAATCAAAATAAATATCCTGGCAGAATGGATCAAGAAACAAGATCTAACAATATGCTACATACAAGAAACTCATTTAACTCAAAGAAATTCATAGACTGAAAGTCAAAGGATAGAAAACAATACCCCATTCAACAGGAACCCAGAAAAAAGCAGGGGCAGCTATTCTTTTTGAAGACCATGTGCACTTCAAGCCAACACTGATCAAAAGAGATAAAGAAGGCCACTACATACTTGTTAAGAGAAAAAAATCATAAATATATGTACACCAAATATAAGGGCACCCACCTATATAAAATAAATATTAATAGACATGAAATATTAAATAAGCAGTAACACAATTGTAAAAAGGGACATTACTACCCTACTGTCACAAATAGATACATCAGCTAGACAAAAAAATCAACAAAATATCAAAACAGAACCAAATCTGTGAACAAATGAACTTAATAGAAGTCTACAGAATGTTGAATCTCACAACATCAGAACACATAGTCCTCTCAAAGGCACATGGTATGGGCGCCAAAATACGACTTATTAGCCCATAGAACATGCTTAAGTAATTGCAGAGGAATTGAAATTATCCCACACATATTATTGGACCGTAGTGCAATGAAATTAGAAATCAATGGCAAAAGAAACCTTAAAAACTCCATAAACACATGAAATCAAATAACACCATACTGAACGACAAGTGAGTCACAGATGAAATTAAAGAAGAAATTAGACACTTTCTATAATTAAATGATAATGGTAATACAACATACCAAAACATATGGGACACAGTGAAAGCACTATGATGGAAATTTATAGTGTATAATTCTTACATCAGGAAAGTAAAATGAGCTCAAATAAACAACATAACATTGAACCTCAAACTTCTGGAAAAAAAGCAAATCAAGCCAAAGCTCATAGAAGGGGGGTATTATAAAAATAAGAATAGAAATTAATGCAATTGAAAAATTACAAAAATACCAAGAAAACATTACATTACTAAGAAAGCATTACAAAAATAAATGAAAAATTGCTTCTTTGAAAGATTAAATAAAATTGACAAACCATTAGCTAACCTTATCAAAAAGAGAGAAGAAAAGGCTCAAATTCATGCAATTAGGAATGAAAAGGGTGAAATAAAAACAGACCTGTGGAAATAAGATCAATACCTGATTTGAGAACATTTACACTAAGATAGAAAACACAGATGAAATGGACAAATTCCTAGATACATATGAATTACCAATGTTGAATCAAGAAGATATAAAAATTCTAAATAACCCCACAACAGTCGATGAAACAGAAAATGTAATTAAAACCTTATCGACAAAGAAAAGCCCAGGTCCTGATGGATTAATTGCTGAATTCTACAAAGAAGTTAGAGAAGATCTAATCCTACTACTCATCAAACTCTTAAATGAAATTGAAAGGGAAACAACACACCCAAAGTCATTCCTGATGCCCAAACCAGAGAAGGACCCAACCAAAAAAGAGATGTACAGGTCAATCTCCCTAACAGAGATCCAAAAATCCTCAAGAAGAAACTTGCAAACAGAGTAGCAAATCAAGAAGTGTATATGCCGTGACCAAGTAGGATTCATCCCAGGGATGCAGGAATGGTTCAACATATGCAAATCAATAAAAGTAATACACTTTCTTTTGCAAGGATCCTAACCATTGGGGCCAATCAGCCTAATAGCCACAAGTAGCCCAACCTTTGGGGTATATCTGGCAGAAAAGAGGATGAAAATGAACCATTGTCTCTCTGGGACACCAACTTGGAGGGTCCACAGGAGCTCCCTTGGGGTGGGTGGATCTCGTGGGCTCCCTCAAGAGCAAAGCTAGACTCATGATCATCTCCTGCTGTGTGCATCTCAATAATCAGCAAGGACCAAGCAGCAAAATACTGGGGAACAGACCCCTGGTAGGCCAAGAAAAGTACCCTATTTCTTCACCAGACCAAGTAAGGCAAGCTTCAGGAGGAACCACTCAAGCAGCCCACTTAGGCAGTTGTGCCAGGGGGTTGTGAGAAGGCCACCAGGCCTGGGCTTCTGCATCTTCCAGAAGATCTCTGGATGCAAATGAGCTCTGGAACAGGAGGAAGAGCTAGTAGACAGCTCTGTGTGACTGCGGTAGCCAGGCAAGAATAAGAGGAAGGCTGAATGGCACTGCAGTCTACACTGGTCCTGGGTCTTACCCTTCAAGACCTTATTGATCCACTGGATGGCAGCTCTCTTCTCTAAGTCAATCTCTTCAGCTGTCACCTGATAGGCGAGCTGAGGAGGTGGAGGCAGGATCACTGGGTCCTTTCTTCTACAGGACAGCAGAAGAATCTTTCGTTTGGGGGGCCTTGAAAGATCAGATGGGTTCGAGCAACCCTTCAGGTTTTGTTGGTGGCTTGATTGAGCATCTGTGACCTTTTCATGCTGGCTTTTCCTTTGTGGTACCACTGAGGCAGAAGTGCTAGCCTGATGGACTTCCTCAGTGGCTTTCTTTGCAGGCACCAGAAAGTGAGATGAGCCTGGGGAGGGGCGCCCAGCAGGGCCTGTACCATTTCTCCTGGGCTGCAGTGGGAAACCCTGGGTGGAACTGTAGGAACTGGTGATGGCATTGCGCTTGCTGCATGAGCTCAGGAAGCAGCTCTGAGATTTTGTCATCAGACTACGCACTGAGCTCTGGTAACAGAAATCCCTCTTGAGAGGCCCAGGCCTGGGCAGGAAGGAAGAGAGCACTCCGTTGACCACCAGGCGCCTAAATGCAGACTGGCTGCTCTCATTGCCGTCAGAACGCCTTCTCGGGTCCTCCCGCCTTTCGGGAACAGCGTTCCCCTTTCCCTGAATTGTAAACCCCTTCCCACTGTCGCCCAGGGAGGCCAGGTCTTTCTCTTCCTTGGCTCTATCTGGACTACTGTCTTCAAGGGCTCTCAGGCGGAACTGCTTCGCTTTGGGGACTGAGAAGAGGCCAGTCCGTGAAGTGCACTGAGTCAAGACTGACGGCTCCAGAGCCAAACAGAGTGTGAGTCTGCCCCTAGCAGATGCCAAGCTCAGGATGGCCGAAGGGCAGGGCATCCTGGCGCTGGAAAATGGCAGCGCTGGCGTCGTCCTCTTCCTGGAGGACGCGCGGGGAAAGACCCCCAGAAGCAAACACCGAGCCTTGCGGACCGGACTTCGCTGCCTATGGACGACGATGAGCCGCCGTCGGCGCCGACGACGCCCGGGGGAAGCCACGGGATGCTCGCAGGGCAGCTTTCGAGCCGGGCTCAGGGACAGGGCCCGCGAGCGCGTCGGCAGAGCGGAGGAAAAGCCGCCGGCGGGGCGCGGCGGGGCGAGGGCCTGCGGCTTCTCCAGCGCGCCCG